AAGTTCTTGCCGATTATGCAAGCGACTGAAATGTGAACAGCAGTTCGTAGTGGCGTATAGTCCGTGGATCAATGGATCTGTGGAACGTGCAAACAGAGATATACTGCAAGTGCTACGTGCAATGATTATGGAGTACAAGATTTCGCACAACGACTGGATCTATCTTATACCTTTGGTGCAAGCTAACATGAATCACTCTCCGGTGGCTTCTCTAGCTAACAAGGCCCCTGTTGAGGTATTCACTGGCTTGCCATGCCCAGCACCAGCCTACATCCTGCATGTACCTGAAGAGCAACCTAAGGGCAGTCTTATATATTTCTGAGTGGCGCGTCCCCCCCGCCGAGAAAATATTCTCTGTGGGGTAAAAAATAGCGGCCCCCATAATGTGAGGCCCGGTCTGGTGGCGCCCCCGAAAACAAGCGGAAAAAAATTCTTGGTTGCAAAAAACAAAAAAAAACCAAGAGGGACCACACAGTAAAATTTTTTGTGCGGGGTGGAATTAATTTTCCCACAACCTGTTCCAGAACCAGACCCAAGTGTATCCCGGTCGTCCTACTATTACCTGCGATCCTTCTTTCTGTCGCCTCTTACGGAAGACAGATGTGCATGCTTCACGCTTGAATTCTACGCGGACAGCGACTGGAAGTTACGGAGGAGCTACTGGAGCACGTCGCCTCCCAGGGCATTGTGTTGAAGGTTAACCGACTTAACAAGCACCGTTGGAACAAACAGAACCAGGCTTTTGAGCTCCTAGTGAGTTGGTGCGGCTTAGAGCCCATAGAGGACTCATGGGAGCCTTTGAAGTCTCTAGCACAGGATATCCCCGTGCTAATACGTACCTACGTGGAAGCTGCCGAGGATGCCAAGTTGGCGACAGCTTTACAGAAGCTGACCTCGAGCTAGAGATCTTCATGTGCCAAGTTGGCAGTCACAGTGTGAGCAAAGTCATTACTATTTCGGCAGTTGCTTTGAAGTAGTGAGACGCACAAGGTCAGTGGCTTGTGTATCCATGACTCAACCTGTGTGGTTGTAGGCATGCGGAAAAATGAAATTTGGATTATGGTACAGTGTCCCAAAATAGTGGTACAGTGTACCAAACTGACGTTGCAATATAGTACGGGGCCTTCCGCTTGCAAAGCGGACGCGCTACCACTGCGCTATGCGCCCAGCAAATCGATAACCTAACCTCCACCTTCCACACAAATTTATGACGCCCCCACGCGCGATATAGTCACGCATACACATACAGCACATTTGCATGCACTTGCACTATCCTCTACCACCCGCTTCTTGCATCGAATTGCACGGTTGGCCTTCAACTATTCATCCAAGCGCCAACAGCGAGCTGACTCGTCCAAACAAGTCACCAGCCATCGCCACACACCCGAGTCTTTTGACGTCGAGACGACACCAACACACAAACGGCAAAACCGGCGTGGTGGTAGGACGAACTCGACAGATCGACGATTGTGCCGCTGGCTTCAGTCGACGGTTGAGGGGTGTCTGCTGTTTGACTACGCCGTAAAGCGAGCTTGTCCCGCAATGAGTCGGGCTACGAGGTAGGCTAAGCAGCCCTAACCAGTAGTCCTGCGCAGCTGTCGGAAACAGAGCCAGATGTATGGTTTGCCTCGCGGAGAAGCATAATGGCGCGGTGTTGTCGTAGGCGCCCCAGCACAGCGTGCAAGTGGAGGTGAGTCGAACAAAGAGTTGGACACACCGGGGATTGAACCCGGGGCCTTCCAGCGGACGCGCTACCACTGCGCTATGCGCCCAGCAAATCGATAACCTAACCTCCACCTTCCACAAAAATTTATGACGCCCCCACGCGCGATATAGTCACGCATACACATACAGCACATTTGCATGCACTCGCACTATCCTCTACCACCCGCTTCTTGCATCGAATTGCACGTTTGGTCTTCAACTATTCATCCAAGCGCCAACAGCGAGCTGACTCGTCCAAACAAGTCACCAGCCATCGCCACACACCCGAGTCTTTTGACGTCGAGACGACACCAACACACAAACGGCAAAACCGGCGTGGTGGTAGGACGAACTCGACAGATCGACGATTGTGCCGCTGGCTTCAGTCGACGGTTGAGGGGTGTCTGCTGTTTGACTACGCCGTAAAGCGAGCTTGTCCCGCAATGAGTCGGGCTACGAGATAGGCTAAGCAGCCATAACCAGTAGTCCTGCGCAGCTGTCGGAAACAGAGTCAGATGTATGGTTTGCCTCGCGGAGAAGCATAATGGCGCGGTGTTGTCATAGGCGCCCCAGCGTGCGAGTGGAGATGAGTCGAACAAAGAGTTGGACACACCGCGGATTGAATCCGGGGCCTTCCGCTTGCAAAGCGGGACGCGCTACCACTGCGCTATGCGCTCAGCAAATCGATAACCTAACCTCCACCTCTCCACACAAATTTATGACGTCACCCCCGCGCGATATAGTCACGCCGACCAATAATGCAGATGTGCATGGAGTGGCCGTATCCTCTACTACCCCGCTTCTTCTAGCGTAGTGCTCGATTGGTCTGCATCTATTCTTCCAAGCGC